GGAGAAAGATCTAATGTCCCGAGTGCTCCCTTGTCATCTGTAGGTGCATGGTGCTTGAAATAGTGCCTTTAAATTGTGTCAAAGTAATTCCCCTGCTCTTAGGGGGCTTTGGCTTTCTTTTTTTTTTCCAACCGGGAGTTAGAAATGGGCACGTTTGGTTGCTGGCTTTGATGTGCCTTTCAGGGGACGGGCGTTGGGCAAGAGCGAGGGGCAGCATCTGAGCACAGACTGCTTGTGCAATGCTGTCCGTGGACATAGTTGCTCCACTCGGACCTCTGGAGCTGAACCTACTACTTCAAAACTGAGGAAATTGCAACTTGGTGTTGAGAAGTTGAGGACTGAGTGTGTGATAACAATTTCCTCGGGTTAGGTTAGTTCAGCTTAACCAAGACGCAGGAGAGTATCTTCACTGCTCGGAGAAAGTGTCGCAACGATAGTTTTTTAATTGGATTATTTCTTCATGGGCTGCTGGAGGGCGTCCTGCACACACACTCACAGATTCACATGCACACACACCACACACATCCGTGCACACACACTTATTCACATGCACCGCACATGTGCACACTCTCACAATGCACACTCACACATTCACATGCACCATGCATGTGCATACCCACACAGTGCACACTCATGCACACACCACACACAACATGCATGTGCACACTCACATGTACACACACCACATGCATACACATGTGTTTGCACACATACACACACACACAACCCTGCTCTGTGGGTTGAACCTGGGATCGTGGAGTCTGCTTTGTGTAGAAGACTCCAGGCCGTGGAAGGGAGGGTGCCTGGCTCTGCCTCTGCTCTCAGACAAATCCCAGTGGACACCAGTGGAAAAGTCCCACTGAGGGATGGAGTTTTCCATTGTGGGGGCAGCTCCAGGCCTGATCCTTATCTGCCGCCGCAGGCCATCCCAGCACGTCCTTCCCCCCGGCGCTCATGAATCATCCCACAGCAGGCGCTTCGGGTCTCGTGTCGTCGAAGGGACGCTGCGCGGCACGGTCATCCCGTGGCTCTGCCCCTCACAAGTCTGCGTCTCACGGGTCAGCCCCAGGCCCTGCAGGTTTGTGTGTGTGGAGGTTGAGTCCACTCACCCCGACTTCCTGAGGCACCCCCTGACTGGACAGAGCCCGCCGTCCTGGTTTCCTGGGTTACCAGACAGGCTAGGGCTGATGCTTGGCCACCCCAGCCTGGAGCGTCTCCTGCGTCTCCCACTCACGTTAGCCGCGAGGAAGACGTGCTGTGCCCCCGGGGGACGCTTGTGAGAGAGTGTGCATTTGCGGGTGCCCCAGCTCTAGGTTTCGGGTCGTAATTGCTATTGAGATGTTTAAAACCAGAACATCTCATGCTCCTTATAGAATGTTTACATTAAAATGGAATTTATGATGCTTGGGAATGCTTTGGAAATACAGTGGAACCAAGGAGAAGGGGGCAGAGGAATAGAAGATCAACCGTCAGTGTGTGTCGGCGACTGCTGCTGTTTCCCTTGTCACTTTTAAATGAAATGAATCTGGGATCTAAATCTCCTTTATAGCCTCATTTTTAACCTCCCAGGAGCATAGAACAGCTGTCTCTGAGGATGCATCTCTGGCCTGGCCTTCAGGAGGCTTTCGCCCATGGTCAGTGCCCAGTGCTCCTCTGACGTGTTGGCGTGTGTCAGCCACGCTTAAGGCAGAGTCCTCCTGTCAACCACAGCCAGTCTTCAATGTGGCTCCCACTGAGATGTTGTGCAGTTACCTCTTGCCGTGCTCACATGTCACGACTTCATCGCCCTCACCAAAGTGCTCTCAACGCGCGTGGCCCTTCCTCCACACCCACCTCACAGCAGGGCTAGTGATGGGACTTGTTGATAGAAAGTGGCAGGACCTGGCTTTAGGCCAAATAAATGGCAGTGCCCCCAGATTGTCACAGGGGATCGTCTACTTCCTTTGCTCACCTGTAGTCGGGCATGAATGGGCTCACGGCGGACTTAGGTGACTTCCCGGGTGCTGGGTCCATGGTGGGGGCGGATGGGGCATGTGATTCATTCTGGCCTCTGCTGTCGTGGACTCTCCAAGCCTTGTCCCGGCCTGCCACGGGGTTTCTGTGTCCCAAGGAGGGTGGAACAGACCTTGTCCTGACAGATGCTCACGGCTGATGGTCTCCAGGCAGGTGCTCCGCCAGATTGTCCTGAAGACTGGTCTGCCCGGTCACCTGCAGGGCGGCTTCCCCCAGGGGGCTCGGGGCTGGAGGGGCAGCTGTAGCCCAGGCTGCTGGAGCAGTCTGGCCTGGCCTGTGCCTGGAAGGGGTGTGGGGTGGGGGTATTGTGGGGAGGGTGGCAGGACACCTGCATTTCAGGTGATTTCCCCTAGGATCACGTTTGGGAAATGGCTTCTGCACCCCTGTGCTCCAGCTGACAGATGTGCCATGGCTCTCAATGGCCAATCAGAGGTTTTTTTTTTTTAAAGATTGATTTATTTATTTATACAAGAACTGGAGTACAGGCCAGAGATGCAGGGGGTGAGAGGATTCACCAGAGACAGAGCAGGGAACAGAACAGGCAGACTGATGAAATACACTGCTGAGGGGAGCAGCGGGCGAGTCAGGAGAGGTCTGCTACGCCATGTGGGTTGTTGCTTCCTGGCCAGGAATCGAACTCATGCTGCAGAGGCTGCGAATTGCTTCATAGATTGTAACTCCTTGCGCCATCAGGGAGGCCCAATCAGAGGTTTTCAAAAGAATATTTTTAAAAGAATAGTCTCGGAGTAGTTAATGCCTTCTTTTAAAAAACCATTAAAAAATGTTAAAGAAGGCCTTTGCATGAAATACTCGAGAACACCAGACTGGTCTGCGGAAGCCAGGGAGCATTCTTTATGGAGATGACAGGACTCCATCGAACATTTATCACTAGAAATGAGGAAGGTTTGCCTTCTTGACATTTTGTAACAGGCTCTACAACCTGCCTCAAGATTGGTATTGTTAGACCTACATTTCTATGTGTTTTCAAAATTAGACACAGTGAAACTTATGGATATAATCTCCAGGAAACAGATCACATAATAGCGCTGGCTTTTGTGCTTGCAAGTATTTAAGCAAAGAAATTAGACTTTAATGAAACAATATGTTTATTGCTTAAAGGAGCCATATGGATCTGTGTGTACCTCTTCATGGCACATAAATAAATACGAGAGGAAGAAAGAGAATGAGCGATAAAGCAAAGCTAGTGATGGGCATCACCCCCAGTGGGAGTAACGGGGGACGGATTTTCAGGGTCCTTTGTAATATCTTGTCCCTTCTCTGTAAGTTTGATATTTGAAAAAAAGTTAAAAATGTCTTCACTATTTGATCTAAATTCATCAAGAGCCACGGCGTTAAGCCAGAGCTTCTAGAAGAACTAGCCCTGGCTGAGAACGCTGGTGCTTTCTGCCCAGGAGCACAGCACGGGCGGGGTGAGGGATGGGTCTGGCGGAAGGTTCTTCCCAGGCTATTTGTTAGCACAAGGGCCTTGGTGCTTGGGGCTGCTTTTGGGGGACCCGTTGGGACTCTGTGATTAACATTTCAACTGAAGATTCTTAGGGGCCACACGCCAGGAGTCTCGGGGCGCTGAGTGTTTCTCTGCTCTCCTGCATCCTTGTGGAAGCAGCCCAGATAAAACAACTCAGGACTTTGAAATTTTAGGGGAAACAAAGTTTTAATCAGCCTGCCATCTCAGTCATTGTTCCGAGATGAAAAGAGCGGAAATCAACATTCCCCTCAAAATGCAGATGCTGAGAACTTGTCAGGTCCTGAGTTTTTGCACAAAACAAGATTTTTTATATTTTCTTGCTTTCATTTCTCCTTCCCTGCCCCTCCCTGCCCCTTTTCTCTTTCTCTCCCTCTTTGTACTCCATCTCCTCTCCACCCGCCTCGTCTCCTTTCATCCTAATGAGAGTAAGTCCAGGGAAGAGAAAAGATAGGGCCACTGGGCCGCTCTCTGACCTCTGACCCAGGTGGGCCAGGGTCGGGTGAAGCTGGCCGGGCGAGCACCCCCTCTGAGCCGAGGCCCGGGTGACTCAAGCACTGCCCCGCGGTGCTGCGCGGTGCCCTGCTGACACATCCCTGGACGGTCCCCGTTCGTGCTGCTGGATTCAAAGCAAAACGTTGTTTCTTCCAGAGAACAAGTAATTTCCTGAGAATGAGTAATTAAAGCCTGAAACCCTCTGAGGAATGTTGGGGCTTCCATTAGCAGGACTTCCTTCGAGTGGAAAACAGGCGTGTGGCCATGAACCTGCAGCTTGGACTCTGGGCTTCTGCGAGGCCCAGGCCGCTATTGTCTGCAGGGCCGACTTTCATCAGAGGGGCCGCGGGCGCGGACACTGCAGCCCTGTGTAGTCATGTTAGTTATTTCGAGTTTCAAGGATATTTCAACAGATTTATTTTTCTGCGTTGCTTAATTCCAGAGTCTTTGCATTTTCAACTTGTTCATTGTGGAGCCAGTGGAAATTCTGCATGTTTGGAGGAGAGGACAAAACTGTTCTGGAACATTCCCTTGCGATGTTGAATAAAGGAAGGTGTTATAAAAAGCCAGTGCCTATTCTTAAACGCCGTCATCTGTGAAGGTGAGGCAAGCTCCACCTGCAGAGTTTCCTTCTGGAAGAAAGGAGCGGGGGAGAGGCATGAGGCAGGTGCGGGGGGTGGGTGCCGAGGGCCTGGCACCCGCCACCCGCCAGGCCCGGCCCCCAGGGAGGCGCAGCCACGCGGAGTCCACCCACATCTGCATCCTGGCCTGGCTCGGCGTGTCACACGCGCACACTGGCTCACACCTGCTGTGCAGGCCTATCCCAGGCACTGGATGCTTTTTTTTCAAAAATTAAAAAAAAAAAAACCCTCCTGGCTGCCTATCATTAAGAAAAACAACATTGTTTTCAGGGTCTCTTATCTCTCCACTTCCAAATATCCTGTTTCTTCGGGCTGGGCGGTCGGGACCAATAGGAACCTCTTCCTGCCATTGGCTGACTTCATTTCCCAGACTTAGCACAATCTCATCCGCTCTAAACAACCTCATCAAAACTCCTTTCTGGTCAGAGAGAAGCAATAATTATTATTAACATTTATTAACGATCAATAAACTTGATCGCGTTATGGCCAGCACTATTAAGGTAAGGAGGGGGCTCCTTTTCGTTTGACCAAATCTTGTGCCTGTTACTGTTTTCTTTGGTTTCCTTTATCAAGGCAGATAAGTCGGTGTTGGGTAACACCCCCACTGCCACAATAGAGGACAACAAGATTTCCTTTGCACTGCCTAGTAAATTTCCTTTTTCCTACTCCAACCATCCGCAAGGCTTAAAAACTTCAAACTCAGAAAAAAATTGGGGTTTCTAAATTCACAGTTGAGGGCTGTGGATGACTTTTGCAAAGGCTTTGCCGAGCGCTTCTGAATTTTGGTTTTCTTTGACTCTCCCGAACGGTGCCTGGATGCGTGTCTGCTGGGAGGCGACAGACGTGAGAGGCTGGAGGGTAGGGTCGCAGGCAGAGATGGGCGCGGAGGGGCTGCATTTGGGATGCTCTGGATTCACCCCCTGGCATCGGGGGCACCGGCTTGTCCCAGTGGGAACGTAGAGATGCCGCCAGTGGCCGTCGGGTATGGGACACGCGAGCTTGACTTGATTTTCGGGACCCTCGGGATGAGAGTGAGCGATCTCCTAACTCAAAGGGCGGTAACTCGCTGTTCGGTTATGTACTGACTTTTAATAAAACACCTACTTCTCTGGGCTGCGAGTAGATTTTCTTCCCCGCGGTGCTTGCTTTGTGGGTCTGGGGGAGCCAGGGCTGGTGGTGTGTGGCCTGACGCGTCTTTATTTGCCAATGTTTCTAGAAGATAACAGGTAGGGAGGAACATGGGGGAGATCCTTCCAGGCGGAGCCCTAAATGTGGCCTTTCGTGGAAACGAAGCCGATTTGATGGTTAATGCAAGTCATCGGCTTGGAGACTGAAGGGGGTCGATGAGATGTTTTCAAGGCCTCCTGTCCGGGCGACATTTGTGAATGAGAGAAACAGCAGCAAAAACAGATCCTGAAAGGAAAAATCCTGCTCTGTGGGTTGCCTGTCTTTAGTTTTGGGTGCGTAGCGGGGAGACGTCTTTGGTTGTGCTTTTAAGGGTTTTTAGTTCGTTTGAAAGCTCACGGATCTAGAAGTTTGCCTAGAATCAAGCCAAGGCAATTTCAAAAATCCTGCTTAATTGGGTATTTTTGTAATTTGAGATGTTTGTATGAGAGGATTCGATTCCCACCCCCGTATATACTGTTTCGGCAGTTCTGTTCAGTTTTGATTTCCCAAGGTATATTTTATTTCTCAAGGTATGCTCAGTCTGTATAAAAAGTTTATTTATCAAAGACTTTCACCTCATAGAGCTTTTTCTTTCTTTGTCTTCGGGGACTGGAATCTGATGAAATACAGCTATCATGGAAAAAGATTTTAGTACTGGGGCTTGAGGGGCTTCCATTTTAACTGTACAAACAGAAATTGCTTGATTTTATAATCCAAAAGTGTTACCCTTTTTTGTTCTTATTTTCCCCCTTAACCGGGTCCATATTTCATAGCAATTAAATCATATGCTCTTAGTAGATCTTGAGTAGCTTAAATGCAGTTGTGTGTGTGATGTGTGTGCGCGTTTAAAACATCATTGGCTTTCAGGACATTGAAATAACAGAACCTCCTTTTGAATATGGGGTATGGTTTGCAAAACATGCAAATTGTTACACTGTTTACTTTAAAATGTACAATTGAAGATATTTTTGAAGCTTGAACGTTTTGTACTTCAGAGTAGATTTTGAGAAATAGTTTTCATACTTGTCTGCACCTTGCTTCACTTATACCACTTTATAGCCCTGCTTTAGATGTAGGCTGTGTATATCTCAAGTGAACTTTTAAAATGGCTTCAAGTGATTTTTTTTTAACCCTCTGTTAAAATAAAATAGCCCCGCTTTATAGGTAACTTCCTTTAAGACTTGTTTCTGTTAGACTTCCTGCGTAATGAGATGAGTTTATGGACTTGTTTATAGAGTGGGGAAAGGGGACCTTGAGTCTGCTGAGTCGTTTTAATTATGTTAGTGCAAAGCTCAAATTAGCATAGGGAAAATTACGGCTGTCGGGTGGATTTAGGAAACAGTCTCTCATCCACACGATTTCCAGTCTCAAACACACTCTGCTTTTTGTTGTTTAAATAACGGAGTCAATTTGTCGATTAAGGATCAGATGCACCGGATCTGTGAAGTAGTGCTCTACATCTGAGTGAGCTTTTTTCATCAATATTTGTAAGCCCGGCCAGGCACTGGGAACAGCTAAATGTTCTTCTCCCGTCTTTGCGGATCTCACCGTTATTTTCCCTTGGTAATTTGGAACTGGGAACCAAATGCTTCAGTTGAAGAAGTAAGGGAATTTTCAGAGGTTATAGGGGAATGCCTGTGTATCTCTAAGTGTCTGTGGATTCTAAAATCAGATGAAGACCTCTGGCAGGCTTGTGTGATAAGGCACTGAGGTTTCATGGTGATTCCTCCTGTGGGATCCTCGGCTGGGCTGGGGCCTCCACCTGCCTCTGTGCCGTCTGACCACACCGAGGGGTGCTCGACACCCCTCCCTCCTCCCTCCGGCACAGCCCCTGTTTGCTGGGGATTGAAAGAGGTCTGTCCTGAGCCATCGAACTTGAACTTGATCGTGCTGCAGGCAGTCAGGACTTTCAATCCAGCCCCTCAAAGACTTACCTGATCCTTCTGAGTGCCATGGGCCGCTGGGGAGGCCGAACGAAGCCTGCAATCCCAGAATAACACTTTCAGACGCTTGACATGCGGTGCATAGAATTACGGGGAAGCCAATTCTATGGAAAGACCTTTCCATCTTTGGACTCCCTGGGTGGTCGTGAACCCAGTTACCACCCATTATCTCAGCGTTCACAGATCTTGAGTCTTTAAACTGGGAACGTGGAAATTTTCCTTTACACAGAGAGCTGACCTTGGAGGACCAGGAGCGAGCCGACCGCAAACAGCAGCCAAGTGGAGAGCCCCTCAGCAGGGCAGCTGCTCACGAGGCTTGATGAGGGCACACAGTTGTGATTTTCATTAGTTGCTTAAAGAAGTTGCTTTCTTGGATTTAACAGAGGTTGGAGGGTTTGATGATAATTGAGGCGTGAAGTGTTAATTTCCAAGCCGTGTCTGTCTCCTGCCTTGCCCAGAGCAGGCGCACGCGTTCTCTGTTTGCCTGCGTGAAGGAGACATTAAAAAACTAAGGGTTCTATGAAGAAAGTGCATGTCCTTGTAGGATTCTGATGGGTGTGATGCCTGAGCTTAGGAGCTCTAGGGCTCCAGTAGCGGATGGGCCTTCAGTCCACAGGCTTGAGGGGAACATGACTTGTTTTGCTTTGTGACTCTGGGGCCTTGGGAACAGTGGCGAGGAGGTGAGATGAAGATGTCGATTGGGCTCTCCTGCCATGTCACGGAGCGGCAGACCCCCAATATTCAGGGCCACCTACGCATGACACAACAGCCCATTATCTCAGCAAGACTGGCTGCTGGCATTGGTGGGTCACTGGGAGGCACAGCGCCTGGCCCCTGCTGTCTGTGTGTGTGTGTGTGTGTGTGTGTGCTCTTACACCCACAGCACCCTGACTCAGTGACCCTGGAAAGGAGAGTTGGGACTGATGGAATTTGCAGATATTTCTCCCATTAAGTACGCCCGTGTGGGACTGCAGTGCTCTCAGAGAATGTTCTGGAACTCCGAACTGTTTCTTAATTACCTATTCTTTCTTTAAAACGATTATTTCATTTTTTTAAAAAAAGATAACTTTCTTTACAAATACCCACAAAGGCACAATACATATGCTTGTTAACGGGGATTGTGCTAATGAGCGAACTAAGTCAGAGGCAGAAAGACAAATACCGGATGATTTCACTCATGTGTGCAATAGAGAAAAACAAAACAAAGGAACAGACAAAACTAAGCCAAAAAAAATCTTAGAAATCTGACTGCAGAAGTGAGGCTCTCAGAGGGAGGGCAGGGAGTGGGGAGCAATGTGGGGAGGGGCGCAGTGGACTGTGGGGGATCATGGGTGCCGTGGTAGTGGGTGGGGTGCGATAACATACAACTGAGGGGTGTGAACTTGTACCTCTAAATCATGTAAACCACTGTTGCCTTGGTTTTTAAAAATGCAATAAGAATGTTTTTTTAATTAAAAAATAAATAACTAGAACAGCTATTGCCGATACAGCAGGAAACATTATTCTGCGCTGGGAAGGTCAGCGGGAGAGTCCCTCTGTGGCTGAGGAGCCCCAGGCAGCAGACTCCCCCTTGGCATCTGACAACTTGGCAGATGCATTGATTTAACAGCTGATGCCGAAGAAAATCACCACGCGAGAGGTCATGGGAAAGCCGGCCCGGGGGTTTGCTCCGAGGTGCTGATCTTCTGTCGTGGCTGTCTGACACACTCTCCAGACTTTCCCAGGGTCGGGCAGCTCCCGCCACCCCGGCCAGCCTTGCTCTGTGCCGACCGGACAGAGGATGGCCGTCCTCAGCTCTGGGCGCCATCCGCTCACCCCTGAGGCTGCTTTTCTTCTATTCCTTGGCTCTTGCATCCCTGCTGGTTCTACGGCGGTGGGCCTGGGACCTCCCCTGACTCGCCTCAGTCGGCTCACCTGTGAGATGGGGCTATGCTGGCTGCTGTCTCGTGGGAAGCAGGTCTGCCCAGCCTCTAGTGGGCGCTCGTACATGCCAGATGCCCTTGGACCAGCTAGGTCATTTCGCCTTTTCCGGTCAATGGCATGGTCCCGGGGCCCTGCCGGGATACTCTCTAGGTTTCTGTTACCCTGGAGTTGCCAGCCTCTGCTCCAGTGTTTCCAGGGAGACAGGAATGACCAGGGTCACTTCTGTAGCCTCCCCCACAGCAACACACGCAGGGCAGGGCTCGCCAGGGCAGGGCTCGCCAGGTCAGGGGTGCAGGCTGAGCGCCCGGGGCGCCCTCGAGGCCAGACTGGTCAGAGGCCAGGAGGGCGGCTGTTTGCTGGGGGCTGAAGGATGACGCCCCTTGGACCTGGCGAGGGCAGGAGCGGACATCCTGGGAGATGCCCGCATGGGTCTGTTTCCTCCTCGATGTTGAAAAATGCATCTTGTT